TGCACCGTGCTGCCCGTGCCCCCTCTGTCCGTGCGTCCCGCTGTTGTAATGCAGGGCTCAGCCCGGAACCAGGTGAGTGGTTTATGGGGTTTTTATAGGGTTTTTGGGGTGTTTGTATGGGTTTTGGGGTCACAGGATGGGTATTTGGGGTGGTATTGGGATGGTGTGCACCGTGCTGCCCGTGCCCCCGCTCTCCGTGCGTCCTGCTGTTGTAATGCAGGGCTCAGCCCGGAACCAGGTGGGGTTTTGGGGTTTTTATAGGGTTTTTATAGGGTTTGGGGTGTTTGTATGGGTTTTGGGGTCACAGAATGGGTATTTGGGGTGGTATTGGGGTGGTGTGCACCGTGCTGCCCGTGCCCCCGCTCTCCGTGCGCCCCGCTGTCGTCATGCAGGGCTCAGCCCGGAATCAGGTGAGTGTTTTATGGGGTTTTTATAGGGTTTGGGATCATTGGAAAGGTTTTGGGGTGGTATTTGGGGTGGTATTGGGATGGTGTTTGGGATGGTATTGGGATGGTGTGCACCGTGCTGCCCGTGCCCCCGCTCTCCGTGCGCCCCGCTGTCGTCATGCAGGGCTCAGCCAGGAACCAGGTGAGTGTTTTATGGGGTTTTTGTAGGGTTTTTATAGGGTTTGGGGTGATATTGGGGTGTTAGGAGGGGTATTGGGGTCACAGGATGGGTATGTGGGGTGGTATTGGGATGGTATTGGGATGGTGTGCACCGTGCTGCCCGTGCCCCCTCTGTCTGTGCGTCCTGCCGTGGTCATGCAGGGCTCAGCCCGGAATCAGGTGGGGTTTTGGGGTTTTTATAGGGTTTTTATAGGGTTTGGGGTGATATTGGGGTGTTAGGAGTGGTTTTGGGATGGTATTGGGATGGTGTGCACCGTGCTGCCCGTGCCCCCGCTGTCTGTGCGTCCTGCTGTTGTCATGCAGGGCTCAGCCAGGAATCAGGTGGGGTTTTGGGGTTTTTATAGGATTTTTATAGGGTTTGGGGTGATATTTGGGGTGTTTGTATGGGTTTTGGGGTCACAGATGGGTATTTGGGATGGTATTGGGATGGTGTGCACCGTGCTGCCCGTGCCCCCGCTCTCCGTGCGCCCCGCTGTCGTCATGCAGGGCTCAGCCCGGAATCAGGTGAGTGTGTTATGGGGTTTTTATAGGTTTTTTATAGGGTTTGGGGTCACAGATGGGTATTTGGAGTGGTATTGGGATGGTGTGCACCGTGCTGCCCGTGCCCCCGCTGTCTGTGCGTCCTGCCGTCGTCATGCAGGGCTCAGCCCGGAACCAGGTGGGGTTTTGGGGTTTTTGTAGGGTTTTTGTAGGGTTTGGGGTGGTATTTGGGGTGTTTGTATGGGTTTTGGGGTCACAGAATGGTTATTTGGGGTGGTATTGGGATGGTGTGCACCGTGCTGCCCGTGCCCCCGCTCTCCGTGCGTCCTGCTGTCGTCATGCAGGGTTCAGCCCGGAACCAGGTGGGGTTTTGGGGTTTTTATAGGGTTTTTATAGGATTTGGGATGATATTGGGGTCACAGATGGGTATTTGGGGTGGTATTGGGATGGTGTGCACCGTGCTGCCCGTGCCCCCTCTGTCTGTGCGTCCCGCTGTCGTCATGCAGGGCTCAGCCCGGAATCAGGTGGGGTTTTGGGGTTTTTATAGGGTTTTTGTAGGGTTTGGAGTGATATTGGGGTGTTAGGAGCGGTATTGGGATGGTATTGGGATGGTGTGCACCGTGCTGCCCGTGCCCCCGCTGTCTGTGCGTCCCGCTGTCGTCATGCAGGGCTCAGCCAGGAACCAGGTGAGTGTTTTATGGGGTTTTTGTGGGGTTTTTATAGGGTTTTTATAGGGTTTGGGGTGTTATTGGGGTGTTAGGAGTGGTATTGGGATGGTATTGGGATGGTGTGCACCGTGCTGCCCGTGCCCCCTCTGTCTGTGCGTCCCGCCGTGGTCATGCAGGGTTCAGCCCGGAACCAGGTGAGGTTTTGGGGTTTTTATGGGGGTTTTGTAGATTTTGGGTTGTTTTGCGTGTTTTGGGGTCACAGATGGGTATTTTTTTCCATTTTGGGACCATTTGGATCTTCCCAGTTCTTGAGATCCCCCAAACCCCCATTTCCTCCACCGTAAATCCACCCCATGCCTTTCTCACGGCGCTTTGGGCACATTTGAACCCATCCCACTGAATTTTGGANGGATGGTGTGCACCGTGCTGCCCGTGCCCCCGCTCTCCGTGCGTCCTGCTGTCGTCATGCAGGGTTCAGCCCGGAACCAGGTGGGGTTTTGGGGTTTTTATAGGGTTTTTATAGGGTTTGGGGTGATATTGGGGTGTTAGGAGTGGTTTTGGGATGGTATTTGGGGTGGTATTGGGATGGTGTGCACCGTGCTGCCCGTGCCCCCTCTGTCCGTGCGTCCTGCCGTCGTCATGCAGGGCTCGGCCCGGAATCAGGTGAGTGGTTTATGGGGTTTTTATAGGGTTTTTATAGGGTTTGGGATCATTGGAGAGGTTTTGGGGTGGTATTTGGGCTGTATTTGGGGTGGTACTTGGGATGGTATTGGGATGGTGTGCACCGTGCTGCCCGTGCCCCCGCTCTCCGTGCGTCCCGCTGTCGTCATGCAGGGCTCAACCCGGAATCAGGTGGGGTTTTGGGGTTTTTATAGGGTTTTTATAGGGTTTGGGGTGTTATTGGGGTGTTAGGAGTGGTATTGGGATGGTGTGCACCGTGCTGCCCGTGCCCCCGCTCTCCGTGCGCCCCGCTGTCGTCATGCAGGGCTCGGTCCGGAACCAGGTGAGTGTTTGTGGGGTTTTTGTGGGATTTTGAGCTGTTTTTCTGCATTTTGGGGTCACAGGATGGGTATTTTTGTCCCTTTTGGGACCTTTGGGGTCTTCCCAGTTCTTGAGATCCCCCCAAACTCCCATTTCCTCCACCCTAAATCCATCCCATGCCTTTCTCACAACACTTTGGGGGCATTTGGACCCACCTAACTAAATTTTGGACCCACCCCACTGAATTTTAGGCCCACTCCACTAAATTTGGGGTCATACCACTAAATTTTAGGCCCATCCCACTAAATTTTGGGCCCACCCCACTGGTTTTGGAGGGCGCCCCACTAATTTTGGGGCTACTCCGTTAAATTGGAACCCACCCCGCTGAATTTGGGGTCATCCCACTGAATTTTGGACCTATCCCACTGAATTTTGAACCCACCCCACTAATTTTTGGGGCCACCCCATAAACTTTGAACCCACCCCACTGATTTGGGGCCGCCCCACAGGACGACCTGACCCACAAATTGGCCGACATCGTCAAGATCAACAACCAACTGCGGCGCAACGAGCAGAACGGGGCGGCYGCGCACGTCATCGCCGAGGACGTCAAACTGCTGCAGTTCCACGTGGCCACCATGGTGGACAACGAGCTGCCCGGCCTGCCCAGGGTATGGGGAAGGGTCACTCGGGGGTTTTTGGGGTTTTTTGGGGTCAAAAATGGGGTTTTGGGGTCACTGAGAGGTTTTTGGGGTCATTGAGAAGTTTTGGGGTGACTGAGAGGACACAGACAGGAGGTGGCCATGGAAGGTCAAACTGCTGCAGTTCCACGTGGCCACCATGGTGGACAACGAGCTCCCCGGCCTGCCCAGGGTATGGGGGAGGGTCACTCGGGGGTTTTTGGGGTTTTTTTGGGGTCAAAAATGGGGTTTTGGGGTCACTGAGAGGTTTTTGGGGTCAGAAATGGGGTTTTGGGGTCACTGAGAGGACACAGACAGGAGGTGGCCATGGAAGGTCAAACTGCTGCAGTTCCACGTGGCCACCATGGTGGACAACGAGCTGCCTGGCCTGCCCAGAGTGAGGAGAGGGGTCACTCGGGGGTTTTGGGGTTTTTTTGGGGTCAGAAATGGGGTTTTGGGGTCACTGAGAGGAGACAGACAGGAGGTGGCCATGGATGGTCAAACTGCTGCAGTTCCACGTGGCCACCATGGTGGACAACGAGCTGCCCGGCCTGCCCAGGGTCAGGAGAGGGGTCACTCAGGGTTTTGGGGTTTTTTGGGGTCACTGAGAGGTTTTACGGGGTTTTTGGGGTCACAAACAGGGTTTTAGGGACACAGGCAGGAGGTGGCCCCATGTCATGGCCATGGATGGTCAAATGGCTCCAGTTCCACGTGGCCACCATGGTGGACAATGAGCTGCCCAGGGGTCACTGGGGGGTTTTGGGGGGGTTTTTGGGGTCACAAATGGGGTTTTGGGGTCACTGAGAGGTTTTAGGGGT